ATTATTTTATCAAATAGGCAACGAAAATAGGCCAACAAAGTGAATAAAGTTTGACCCTGTGAATAGTGAATGAGAAGATAATTTATAGACAAAGGGAGTAGTTTTTTACTCTTATCGAGAGAATACACCCATCGAAAAAAGTAGGACTCGTTTGATGAGTTTTGAATGTATGATATGATAGGCTCATCGGCTACAAGGGTGTTTGGGGCGAGTCGATGGTATGTAGAGGTAGATATCTATGCATCACCGCCATCCTGCGTTAGTTTGATATTGACCGCTCGAGGCTAAGCCCTCACAAATTTACTTTTGAACACTTCCCAAAAGTCTCATACTAATCGAGTTGGGTTAACCTACTCGATCATTTAGCCACTCATCAATTTGGAGGGTTTGTGATTTATGATATCAGTCGATATCAAATCCAAATCATTCCAATGTCTCACCAAAGACCAAAAAAACGTTTTCGCACCGAAAGATATCCAAATTCATATATCTGTTACTCACCAAACAACCCGGCCAATATTTTTATAATCCAAGAATTAGAGAGTTGACTCAAATGGGGTCGTTGATAATCGACAGCGTTAATGTTCTTGATTAGTGCTTCATGTCTGTGTAACTGTGTAACAACACAGTGGGTCAAATTTACATTAAACAATCAACAACGTTAATATGGTGCATTGTTGTCATGTTGACCTTAGTAGCTAGGGAAATTCTACAGTTGACTTAAAAAGTTAAAAGACCGTCCATTTGTAGTGGCACTAATGAACTGTGACCTCATTTGGTAATTAGTGGTTAGGGTTGTGTCTTTGTGTCACTAATTAGGTGTATTCCATTACTCCTCCTTCCAGAAATATTCTTTCCATTTGACTTTTTACAGTCTCTAATATTACACTTTGACCATTAATATTTATATTTATACATATATATATTTTATAAAAATTGATATTTCAAAACCACGTTTCAATTGAAATATATTGGTACTAAATTTATATCATAATACACTGTATTTTTTCGGCATATCGTAGTCAAAGTTTACAATTTTTGACTGCGAAAAGTGAAATAATTAGTTTCGAAATTATTGTTCTTGTAATGCATAATATGCCGTCCTTACACGTACTATACGAACATTTTGCATTTTCTAGTGGTGAGGTGAGTCCAATATCTCTAGGCAAAAAGAAATAATCATTCTATCAACCATATTTTGGAATGTTAAAAAAACCTCTCTTAATTACAACAGCACAAAGGATGATAGATTATGATTGATACCATTAGTTTCATATAGATAATTATTTTTCTCATCGACAATTATTGCAATGCAAAAAGTAGCGTTCAACTTTGGAGTTTTATCTAGTTTGACTTTTTCGAGTCAAATCATACGATCTTTAATGATGATTTGCATTGAATTTGTGTTACATATTAGAACAATGAAATGAATTTTGAAATGTTTTTTTCAAAAAAAATGTTTTTTCACAAAATAAATCAATTAAAATTACTTTTTTTTAGTAATATAATTAAAATATACTCCCTCCGTCCTAAAATATCTACCACGTTACAATTCTCACCGTCTTTTTTTGCTTATTTTAATTAGCCATTTGGTAAAATAATATAATCGCGTCACTTATAGTTTTGTAAAATATTTAATGTAGATTTTGAATACTCCATCTGTTGGGTTAAGGAACCCGGGGGCCTAGGAGACTAGGCGGAAGACTATCGAACTGAGTCGAGAGTGCACAAGTTTGGGGTCAAGTAAATTATGAATATTATTCTGCTGGTTCGAACCTCCCTCCTCCTTCCGTTGGAAGGGGTTTACATGCGATTTACAACACAGGGTTCCCGACTGTCGGTCCGGAGTCCAACGGTCTGTGCCCACAAAGATTGAGTTGTTTACTGGCGGCGTCCAACCGCATCATTATCCCTAGGATTGCTTTACAAAATAGGTTACAAATATAGAAATCATCCTAAATAGGACTAAAACATAGAGAAAAGTACCAAAATAGGACTTTCATGTTTTTTTCCCGGAATAGGACTTTGCACTGTGGTAATGTGACTTTGCATTGTGGTAATGTGACAGTGTACATGTGCAAATTACTATACTTTTTTGGTAATGTATATGACCACGTTTGGTAATGTAAGTCCTATTTCGGGAATAAAAACATGGAAGTCCTATTTTGGTATATTTTCAATATTTTAGTCCTACTTTGGTCTTTCTCCCTTACAAATAGGGTGGCTAAAACAACTCTGCCAGAGGTATGGCAGGGGTCCAATCGTGGGCCCCTTGATCTTGACTACTTAGATAGCTCCCTTGTCTGGACTTGGTTCGCTGGCGCCCCGGGCCGAGGCTGAGTATGTGCTTTGTCTTCGGCAGTTCCCTGACGGAAGGCCGGCCGAGGGTGGTCCGAGGACGACACTCGCCTGCCGAGGCCGAGTGCGAACTGTTTCCGAGGTGGCCCTCCTAGGTCTTTGGTTGATTCTTGCCCTGGTTCAGCTAAATGGGCCTTAGCGAGGTTGGGATGGGCCGCTTTTCCGTTGGGCCGGATACCCCCATTTCCGGGTATCCATCACCATCCGTCCCAACTCCCAACTTAATCCTTTTTTTGGTAGTTCCAAATTAATTAATCTCTTTCTTTTTTTGAGAAGCTTTTTGTGATTCATTCCTTTTCCCTCTTCTCAGCATTACATTCAAACACACATTTTCACTTTTCATAAACTCCGTGCAAAGTCAAAGTAATATGATTAATTTAGAACGGAAAGAGTATATAAATTTTATTTTTAAATTTTACATCCATAATCAAGCTGAGTAATTTTATTTTATCTAAAAATGATCAAAGTTTGTTACTCAAAAAATCAAATGGGAAGTCTCTTGCCACTTTTGCCAGAGGTACTCCTGCATTATTTGTATTTAATGAACGAAAGGCGTGGATTGAGCGGCGCGTGGTTGGGAAGACCAACGTGCGTGGCGGCAATTTGCGGCGGGAATGGCGGGAAGCGGAGGCGTGTGGAGGCGACAGATTTTCCTAATTGACGATAAAGTGGTCGGAGATCAAGGCGCTCTGTCTCTAGACTAGCTCTCTTTAATTACACCCTTCACTTCAATTGCCAAAATCTTTTTAGAATTCTTTTTGGCTCTCTTTTTTTTTATGATGCATGAATCTAGGAATTACGAAAAAAATTGCTTTAAAAAATCATGGTTTTTTTGTCTCATTTTTGAAATATTCTTTGTCATACATAGGATATTTTTTTTAAAAAAAAATTACAAGTCATTTATTTCTTGAATTAGTTTCAAATTATAAGACGATACCAGAATGATATTTTTTCTGAATTTATTTTGTCTCGTTTATACACGCACATATATACACATGTGTAAATATTTAGGACCAAGAATTCTTCTAATATGTGAAATCTAGAGTTAATTACTCACTTCGTCTATTAATTTCTTTCTCATTTTTCTTTTTGGATTATTAAAAAATTCATGTTTCCTATTTTGGCAATTTTTTTAGTGAATGTGTCATTATACCATCATCTTTTATCTGTACTATTTATTTTATTGCATCAACCAAGTGTTTAGAGTTTTTATCTTTTCTTAATTTTCATGCTGATCAAGTCTAACTGGGATTTTTTTTAAAGGATGGAGTATATAGGTTTTGATATTTCAAATGAAAATGATTGGAGAGGTACGAAATGAAGGTTGTTAGTGGAACGTCCGAGGTGATTGTTCAGACGGGTTGCCAACGACTGGTTCTTGTAGGCGGGGAAGTTGGCAGTGGTATCGAGCGACAATGTGTTGCTGGCAAGGTCAGGTTGCTGGTAGACATAGCGTTCAGCCGATCACATCAATTGATTTTGTTTCGGTTCAGATCTATTCGATTCTGGCCTATTTTGGATATGTATAATGGAGTAATTGTTTCTGACCAATTTTGTCAGGTTCATTTCAAGTCTTGCTTTAATTTGATTCTCATTATTTTAATCGCAATATATGTCGTACAACTGGTTGTCTGATATTTCTTGTACATTCGGGGTGAGAGCTCATTTATGGGCCATGTATTTTTGTTGAGATAAATCAACGCCCCATTTGGCTCTATTAAATAAACCTATAAGAAATATACAAGTGAGGAAGGTCTATCACTTATCAGCAAAAGCCATCTTGCGTGGAAACAAATAAAAGCTCTTTCCATGATGCACCCAAGTCCTCTCCCTAGGGTGGTCATAACTGTCTAATATAACGAGGCACCTAAGTCTTCTCCTCAGTGTATTTAAATTATCTTCTAAGCCAACCAAGTCATATTCCAAAATACTTGATACCCTACTTAAATAAATATTTTCCATTCTATCCTAAAATTTTCTTTCCATTCACTTTACGAAATTTGACTGAAGCTATTTTTAATTTCAATTTATTTGATCATAAGTATGAAATTTAAATACTCCCTCCATCTCTGAGTATTTGTCCACATTTGACTTTTTTCGGTCAAAATTGGTAAATTTTGACCTAAAATTAAATAAAAATGTTATTAGATCTGATACAAAAATAGTTTTATTAGATCTACTATATCAAATATTTTCAAAATATTATTTTATCTAATAAATATACAATATATATTTTATTTAATTATAGATCAAAAATAGAAAACAGTTGACTAAAAAAAGTCAAAACTGGACAAATATTCAGAAACGAATGTAGTATAAAATATATGTATATAATTAAAAAATATATCAAAAGATCTATAAAATGAAAGATGACATGACTATATTACTTTATCAAATGAGTAATAAAAATAAGCAAAAAAAGGAAATACTCCTTTCGTCCAATTTTGAACAACGTGCAAAATCTCATCTTTTTTAAAATGTCTTTATTTACAAATTGGTACTCATATATCATAAAAAAGTACACATTTCATTGTTCAAAACTATATTAAAAGTTTACAAAACAAGATGTGACAAAAATATTTCATCTTATCAAATGATTGAGGAAAATATGCAAACATACATAAGTTATTAAGAAGCCATAATAGTAACTGAAAAGTTTATTATTTGACAAAGGGAGCTAGTAACTTTTGACCATTTGAATAGTAAACGGGAAGAAAATTTTAGAACGCAATGACTACTCATAAAATGCAATCTACAGGCATATGGGTATCTTGGAAGGACTACCACCCAAACATGCTAATGTTCATTTCTTGTATTATTACTCCTTATTAGGTATCTACAAAGACAACCTCTTATGGATGTTACTTAGATTTTTAATCAGCCTAATTGGGAGAAAAAGGCAAAGGCTTTGAAAACTTGGGGTAACTTGTCATTCTATGCAGTATCCATCATCAACCCCTGAAATTAGAAAAAAAAAAAAAAAATCACATGCAAAAATTATGAATGGGGCCATATTTTGTTTTATGTGGAGTACTTATATTTTTAATGCAATGCTAAATTTGAGTTTTCATAATCAATTTAGAGATTCCAACCCAAAACCAATTGATTAAATGTCTCAAATTGTAACAAATTCGAAATCCAACAGTCCTAAATAGTACACCTAATCATTCATTATACTACATCACTACATCTCTCATTAAACTTACAACACATGGATCTTAATGGAATTTATATTAATGCCCAAATACAAGGTTTTACTTGGACACCAAAATGGTAGAGATATATAGAGATAGAGATAAAGAGAGATGAATATTTGAATGTTCATTCATCCCTCCCTAAGTTACCATCTTATGCAGGCTAGGCTCGTTTATGTCGGTTGGCATGTTCCTCGAGTCCGGGTGCGAATTAGGCCAGTGGTCCCCGCGGAAGGAAGGGGCAGACAGCACGGCGGGATTCCCCAAGGAATTGTGGTGGTTTTCCGCCTCCGGTGCAGACGCCGGAGCGAGGGGAAAGAAAGGCGGCTCTTGCCTGTGTTTCTTGGTTTTCTGGTGTTGTTGGTCCTCTTGATTCTCAGCAACAAAACTCCCAACCACAATCTTATTCATGCATAGTAAATTGGAAAAACAAGGAAATGGCATTCAGTACAAACTAGTACAGTTCAAAACTATATATATGTATATATGTGTGTATATATATACATATGTATGTATCTATGTGTGTGTGTTAGAATATAAATAACTCTTCTTGGCCACAACCACAAGCTTGAGCTTTTGGTTGAATTGGTTCCTTGACATTAGGGATGGCAACGGGTCGGGTTCGGTCGGGTTTGAGTATATAGAAACCCGACCCGACTTAGGTCGGGTTCGGGTTTGATTTTGGCGGGTCGGTTTCGGATAGTTATTTTTTCAATTTCGGATTCGGTTCAAGATTTGGTCGGATCGGTTATGGTCAAATTCGGGTTTGAATACTAATAAAAGTATTCATGAAAATGTTAAGATTGAAATTCATTATAAATTTAAAATTTTAAAGACGACTATATATTTATGATATTAACAAAAATAATTATGACCCTTAAAAAAATAAATAGTAAGTTTCAAATAATATATGAATTACAAAGAAAATAACATATGTATGACACACAAGATTAAACCATAATAAAAGTGAAACACAAAAAATGCAATAAGCTTTAAAACATTAAAAATATGTACATCAAAAATACATGGAATATAGGAATTAAGGGTTTTAAATTTTAATAACTTATTAAAAGTCGGGTACATGTCGGGTCGGGTCGGGTACAGGTCGGGTCGGTTAAATATACTAACCCAAACCCGACTTGATAAAAGTCGGGTTCAATTTAAATTTTTTCGGGTCGGTTTCGGATATTTGATTTTTTGGTTCGGATTTGGATATTACAAGCTCCGGTCGAGTTGGTAAAAGTCGGATTCGGGTAGAATTGTCATCCCTACTTGACATGGTATCAGAGCCTTGTTGACTAAGAGGTCACGGGTTTGAAACTTAGCGCCACCTAGTTTTAAAAAAAATTAAAGTTTCACGTGCAAGGCTTGAAAAAAGACTATGCTTGCACGTGAGGGGGCGTGTTAGATTATAAATAACTCTTTCTGGGCCACAACCACAAGCTTGAGTTTTTGGTTGAATTGGTTCCTTGACAGTGTGTGTGCGCGCACACACACACTTCCTCTATCCGTCACTAAAAGAATTCTCGGTTCGAAAAAAGTTGTTGAAAAGTGAAAAAATGTAATTTTTTTGTAGAAGAGAAACATTGTAAGCCACTTAATTCTTTCCTTTTTTTGAAAGAAAAATTGGGAAGTTTATTTAGGGGCGAACGAAAAAGGAAAACGAGAACTTCTGTTGGGAGCGGATGGAGTATAAATTGGGTTGATTACATCTGCACCCCTAGAGATTTTGTCGATTGACCCTCTAGGTAAATGGAACGTGTTTTAGTTCTAGTTAGATATTTCTCCCGTGACAATATAGAGGGAGAAGTGGGTGCCCTAGCTTGATTCATAGGGAGATTTTGGTAAACAACCATTTCTTTGTACTGTTTCATGAGGAAAAAAGGGAAAAGGAAAATACCTGAACGGGCGCGGCGGCTACTAACATACCAGCAACACTGCCGCCGACAACTCGCCCATCGGGGCTCGCTAAAGATACACTCATCCCACCGGATCGGTTACGGATTCCGCCCGTCTCCGATGGCATAAACGATCCAGTCAACGATAGTATCTCAAAACGACCCTAGAGAAAGTGAAATGAATGTAAGTGGCAAAACATGAATCCCAAGTAAATCCTAACATTAATCCTAAAATTTAGGAAATTGGTTTTTTGTGTTTGGTTTTTTCATCAAGCGTTAGCGTTACTTTGAAAGCATTAAAACTAAAGACGGTTGTTAGATAGACTTATCAAAACACTAAAGTTGTTGCCAAACAGGTATTATATGTAAACAAATTACATATAAATAATATACGAGTATAATACTCCATAGGTAATATAAATATTTTAACCAAAATGAATTTTAGAAATATTTAACTAAAATTCATTAAATTTTGAATGTTTTTTTATTATTTTATTTTGCCACATTTTCTTTCTTACCATATTTGCCCTCTATTTCCTTTCACAATTTCATTTCCTAGCCTTTTCTATGTTCCAAACATGTCCTTAAGGCCCCACCAGGAAAATTGTAACGTTTCAGTTACTTGCAAAGATTATGATAGCTGCTAAAGTCAGCTATGTTTGAGTGACAGTCCAAAAACACGTTTTGAAAAACACTCCCTTTGTCTCATTTGATTCTTCACCGTTACTATTCTATCTTTCTCTATATATTTCGTCTATCATTTGATAAAATAATATAGTCATATCACCTCTTATTTTGTATATCTTTTTATATACGAGTTGTTTTTAAACACAATATATGGAGTATAAATTTTATTTTTTTTAATTTCATAACAATTACTCCGTAAATCATTGAATGGAAAATAATTTCAGTCAAGCATAATAGCTCCGGAGTATTAAATAAATTATATAGAAAATAATCTCAGTCAAACATTGTATAGTGTATTTTAAACTTTCAATTTGGGACAGAGGAGTAATAATCAGTACCTCATAGGTAAGGGTTCCACCGGAGGAATCAGGTTGGCGAAGCGTGACGCTTGAAATAACGCCATTAGCCGAGAGAATGCAGATCCCCCGAGGCCCTTGTTGAGAGAACGAAATGATCTTCATGGTAACATCCTAAACAAATCCAGCAAAACACTTCAACAAATGTATTGAAAAAAAAAGATATACACATTCAATACTTAAACAAATTAAACCACGCCATTGAGTAACTTTTGTTTTTACCTCTCCAGCATTGACGGTGATTATGTGGGGCGTAAAATTAGAGCCGAGAGCACAAGATACCCATTCGCCTACGGATCATATCAAGAGAAAAATTGCATATTAGAAAACGCGAAAACTCATAATCCAATACGAATATGGTACAAGGAAGAAGGAGAAAGATAAAACGCAGGTGGAAGTGTAAAATAAGGCAAGAATGAATATCATTCAAATGCATATTAATTCTCCAAGACATGTTGTTATCTGCTACATTATGCATGTATTTCTCTCTGTGTATAAGTTGGTCAAAAAAAATTTAACCTATTTTTAACCTGTAAGTCATTTGATGTCGTGTTTTTCTACGCATATAAAATGCTTATAGGTCAAAAAATAAGGTCTTGCATACTTATTTTTAAGTAGGTTTTTTCATTTCTTCATTTTGACCAAATCATTTATAAAACTATCCCTACGCTTTTATGAATATCCCGAAGCTACCCAATCTCTCATTTAAGTCAATTTACAAAAATACTTCAATAAGCACCTTATAACTTAAAAACCTAAACACTACTTAGAAATAATAAGTCAATGAGCACGAGCAATCGCACAGAGAAACACCCCAGTGAATCCAAATCTACCATTTTACCGCCGGGCAGAAATGGGCTCTGTTTCGCATTAGTTTTGGCACTCGTTTTTAGTGTTTTGAAAATGTTATTCACTAGTTTTCAATATCAACATTCTCAAAAATCATCTGTTGGCCATATCTACATGAATTGTTCCGTGGTCAATGCTATGCGGGCCAAGTCACGCTTGAATCTCGTGGGCGCTTGTATATGCTAAATCAACTATAAAGTTAGGATATGCACTTTTCCTAACACCAATTGGTTTAAAAAGTGTTAGTAGCGCCTGAGGTGTTACACGTGGTATTAGAGCCAAAGTCACGAGTTCTAATCCTAATGATTAAACCATGCTAACCCAGAAAAGGTCATCTCTTCCAGTGTTATGCCCAAACAAAAAAGCCAGGCATGAAAAACTTTAAGATTCTTCTTCCCCTCACCCCACCAGACTGACCTTTCAGAACCACTCAGTCACCCATCCAAAGTTCATGGTTAAGGCATATCTACTCAGATGGGTCCCAGTCCTTCAAATCTCAATCAGTTCACACACATCTATATATATATATACTCCAGAATGGTTATCTGGAGTTCAGAATAATAAATGAGACGATTATTTTGGGACGGAAGAGTATTCAAACAATCACCAAACACTATAAATCTATCAAACCCATTCTTCAGATGCAATAAAAGATTTCAGCTTTATGATCATTATTAGGTTATGGGTTTGATGATAAGGGCATGTTTGCCTTTGCCAAGTGTCAATTGGGAAACAATGTTGTAAAAAAGGGCTATAATAAAACTCAACCAAACGGAGCATAAGAACCAATCGAATACTCACTTGGATGTTCAAAATCGAGTTTGGGCTGGTGGAGTTTGATGATGGGACCCAGCGGCAGGATTTTCCCCCGCTTCTCGCCGGCGGCGGCCGAGAAGTCAATCACGGACGGCGGAACCGCGGTGGAGATCGGTTTAGGGGAAAGGGGAAGGCCGGGTGCCCCGCCATCAGGGCCATACTTCCTTGGCCTTCCCCTCTTTTTCTTCACTGCCATCGCCGGAGCTTCAATTCCGGCCGCCGTGGACGGCGGATATGAGGAGACGCCCATGTGGGGTACAACTGGTTGTGCTGATCCAGGTGGTACCTGGCTTGGATTCTCGCCGGTCACCGGAGTCACACGGTGGTCCGCCGGAGCATCTGATCCGACCACTGTGACTCCACTCCCAGTCAAACCCTCTCTTTCCTCCATATCTCCAAATTACTGAACAAGAAACCAATTTTTTTTAAATAAAAATTAAATCTTTGCAAATTTCTTCAGCAGCTCTCCAAAACCCAGTACTTATTATCAATCCAAAATCACTTTCGCAAAATCTTTTTTTCTAAAAAATATTAAAAAGAGACTTTAAAACTTGAAATAATTTTTGCTCGTGCTGGAAAAAAACCCAGTGGAGAAGAACAGTCAAACGGGGAAGAAAGCTAATGGAGAAATTCAAGAAATTTTATCCAATTACTTGAGAATTTGTCTGAAATTAAAGAGAGAAAAGTTTTCGTTTTTAGTTTTTTCTTTAATATTTTTATTGGGTATGGAAATGGTGAGGAAAATGTGAAAATGGCTGAGAAGTAAAATCAAATTGGGATTTCTTAACTTTGATTGTCCGAATCCCTTAAATTAAATAATAATAATAATGAAGAAAAAGAAATTATTAAATATTGGATCCGTAATTATTAATTATAGATATAGAAAGCAACGAAATTATGTATTTTGGTTAAGAAAATGGTTGAGGTCCGGTTCTCGTAGATTTTTTTTATTCAAAAAAAATCAAAATAATAAATAAATAATAAATAAATAAAAAGGTGTAGTTGGAGAAAGTGAAATTAGGTTGGCAAGACATGAAGACTGCCATAACTCTCTTTTTTTAAAAGTAAAGAAAATGAATGATTATAAAGCATAGCCATTAATTATCATAATGATGACAATAATAGTAATTAATAAAATATGAATTACGGAGTATTAAATACAATATATTCAAATCAATAGAGACAAAAGGATATGTATTGAAAATAAGGAGATATAGAAGGAAAATGCATTATTTTGTAGCATTTCAATATCTTTTTTTTCTTAAGGTGTATTTTTTAGAATTTTCTCAAGGTG